GGCTCCGAGCCCCGGGACCGGCGCTTGCGGAGGAGGGGGTCCGGCTCGGAGAGGCGAGGTGGCGGGCGGGCTTGGGGGGCGGCTGCGTGCGGAAACGGGGGAGGCGCGAGGATTCTGTGGCTGGCGTGGACGCGCCGGGGAGTCTCCGTGGGAACTGGTTCAGCGGGGCTGGGGACAGGCGGCTGGGAGCTCCCGCGACTGGAAGGGACCGGTCCGATATTTGCGGAAATCCGGGGTGGGCGGCGGCAGCTTACGATCCTGACGACCTGCACAAGACTGTGAAGCGTGCACCCGGGCAGGTCTGGGCGGCGGTCTGAGGAGAGCTTGCCCCGCCCCGCAGACCTCTCCGCGGCGACCCCTCCTCGGCCGGCCTGGCCCCATCAGCACCGCGGACAGCGCCCGGCCTGTGAGAACCGACTCCTGCAGCAGCCCTGGAGTCCAGCTTCTGATGTGCTAACTGCTTCCTACTGCAGAAGGAAGAGGCGGAGTATAACGATCCGTCGATATCCCCAGCTCCTGCGAACGCCGCCACTGGACGGTGTGGCCTGGGTGTTGGAAGATGTGTCCAAATTCGCCCAGCCATCTAGGATTCATTCATAAAGTGCCTACTCTGGGGTAGGACCCTGTGCTAAACGCTCCGCAGATGGTGCGTAATTCTTATAGGACGCTGTGAGTATACTGCTTGTACACTATTATCATTCCCATTTCGCAGATCGGGAAACTGGAACAAGGGAGGCTGAGAAATTTGCCCACGTCTATACGGCCAGCACGTTCTGACCACGTTCTTATACTCCAGCCTGCGGAGGGGAGGATGTGCCCCAGCAAGCCGAGGCGAAAACAAACACGTTAGCACTTCATTGGGCTATAAAACGCTGGGTAAGAATGACAAGAACAAAACGTGTGGCAAGGAAGGAGGGAGGGCAGACACGAGGGAGCTTGCAAAGCTGGTTGTGATTCAGGATCAGGGCGCAGTGGGTCAGTCTGTGGAGCGCGTACAAGCTACTGCAGAGAGAAAAGGGTTTGCCAGAGTCTCCTCCCCACCTGCCGCCTCCACCGGTGAGCCTCTGCTCCCCAGCTCTGCCTGGCTGGTTCTCTCCCTGTAGCTGCTCGAGAAGGCAGGCCAGGCGACAGAAGCTAGGTGGGGACCTCTGCACAGGCAGCAATGACCAGACCCTGGGCCTGTGGAGAGGTTTGGCTTTTGCTAAGCCCACTTGGGAAGAAAGCAAAGCAAGTGGCCCCCACAGACAGAGAAGGAAGTAGGCGAGGCTTGCTATTCAGGGATGCTGCCTACATTTGTGTAATTCATAAGGCTGCTGTTACCTGCCAGGTACAATGAAGCCTTGTAAAATAATGACATGGAAAGTGGAAGCTGAATGCAGCATGCCTGCTGCTAATGGTAACCCAAGCAACGTGCTTTAACCGGGTGGCCAGAGCGAGGTCAGGGCCTGACCCTGTGCCATGCACTGTCATTGTTTAAGGGGTTCCAGATGAGAGGCACAGTGAGAAGACCGTGACAGACAGTCTGTGAAGCAGCACTGGGCATGTGGAAGGCCATGCCTGGGGTGCGCCCGACAGCCACAGAGAAGAGCTAGGATGCCCCGTCCTCACCCTGTACCCTCCCTGGGGGCTGGGGGATAACTAGGGACAGATTAGGACTAAGGAAGCTGATTTTAAGCAGAGGGCTAGAATCAGTTTCCCAGAGACACCACCCTTCTCTCTCCTTCGTCTCCTCCCTCTCTTTACTTTGAGGTGGTGAGAGATGGGTGATGTGCACCCTGCATGGCGTAAAGGGGAGTCTGAGTACCCATCCCTCCTCCTTCCCACATTCCTTCTCTCCTCTTCCTCTTTTCTTCCATCTTTTTCTTTATTCTACTTTATTAAGGGAGAAAAGGCCTATCTTTGTAGGTCAGCTTTCCTTGGAGGGTCCAACTCAGGTGGTGAACAAGATCAGTTCTCCAGTAGAGAAGCTGGAAAGCATTAAGGCTCACAGGAGCGGGACACAGGTCTCCCCCAGCTTTTGTCTTTTGTGAATGGTGCTACCTATGTCTTCTGCTATACCTGCTTATTAGTGGTCTGTTGCTGTGAGGTACCCCCCTACACACACCTATACCATGAGTGGTTTATATTGAGAGCTGTTTATTTCCTTCTATTCCTGCAATCCAGGCCAGGTTCTGGGTGATTCTCCTGCTGGCCTCACTTGGTTCACTCGGCAGAGGTCATCTGGGGGCTGGTTAGGGCTGGACAGTCTTAGATAGTCTTCCTGCATTCCAACAGCAAGCTGGACTTGGGGAACAGCCCAGGCGTTCTGACACTGCAGATGAATGCTATGGATCAAGCTGAAAGCTGCAAGGCCTTCCAAAACTTTGCCCCTAAAGTCACACAAAATTACTTTTGCCTAATTATACTAATCAAAGCAAGTGGCAGGACCAACTCATACATATATATCCTGGTGAGGGAAGACTTTGAGGCCATGTTTTACAAGCAACCACAGGTACAAAGCTGGGAGTGAAGTTACTGGGCCTTTGGTTCTGTTTAGGTCCAATTCATACTTCCAGGAGGTTATTGCTGTCTCCTAACTTCATATCCTTCATACTGTCATTCCATCTAAGTCTAGTCATCCTGGAGAGAATGTAGTGGCATCCTATACTTTAATCTGATTTTCTTTGAGTAGTAATGAGGCCGAGTACCTTTTTATATGTCTTTTGGTCATCTGTGCATCCTCTTTTGAAGGAAGTGATTTGTAGGTGCTCTTTGTATATTCTGGGTATGAGTTGCTGTAATTTTACTCAGTCTCCTTCTTGGATCTTGAGTGATTCTCCTCTTGATTACAAGGGAAGTAACACTTGAGCTGCAGTTTGAAGGATGATGAATAATTAAAGAAGAGCAGGAAGACCTTATAGTTAGAAACAGGCTACCAACTTTCCTAGTGGGTGACCCAGACTCGGTAAGAACCCAATGGGGGGAAAAGCAGCACCTTTGAGAAATAATAAGATTGATTTCAAAGTAGGTAGAATGTGAGGCTTGGAGATGCAGGAGATGATGTTGGAAAGGTGAGGCCAGGAGGAAGGCTGGGTTGGAAAGAAATGCCTTTTCAGCGGACATTCTCTATCAGGAGTTAGTCCTTGAAGGTCCTGTTTCAGGTTTGCAGTGCTTGGAGGTCAGGAAATTTATGGATGCATAAGAGTTGAACTCAGTCCTAGCTAGGACTGCCAAGAATTGAAAAGTATTACAGTGAGAGACGTTAAGTGTTTTATACCATCTCGTGAAATCTTCTCAATCATTCTGTGAGGGCCAGGGATATAGCTCAGCAGCACAGCACCTGCCTGGCAAGTGCAAGGTCCTGAGTTCACTTGCTGGCACCAAAAAAAAAAAAAAAAGCACAATGGTTCTATGAGGTAAGCAACTACCAAGCACTCCCAACACACACACACACACACACACACACACACACACACACACACACACTCTCAGATGAGGAGACTCAGGTGATAGATGACTCACGTAACTTAGGAATGGGCTCTGACTGCACCAGGCCCTGCAGCAGTCGTGCTGACAGACAGGTGTGAGAATGCATAACATTCCCTGCTTCTTCCTTTGCTAGGTCTGATCGCCTCTCTGGCTCAGAGACTCTCTGCTGCAGCCAACATGATGGATGACGACACCGAATTGAGGACTGACGGAAACTCCCTGCTGAAGGCTGTGTGGCTGGGGCGGCTCCGGCTGACCAGGCTGCTGCTAGAAGGTGGTGCTTACATCAATGAGAGCAATGACAAAGGTGAAACTGCACTGATGGTGGCATGCATCACAAAACACGTGGACCAGCAGAGCATCAGCAAGTCCAAGATGGTGAAGTACCTGCTGGACAACAGGGCAGACCCCAACATCCAGGATAAGTCTGGCAAGACTGCACTCATCCATGCCTGTATCCGGAGAGCTGGGGGAGAAGTGGTCTCCCTGTTGCTGGAGAACGGAGCAGACCCTAGCCTCGAGGATCGAACCGGGGCCTCCGCTCTGGTTTATGCAATAAACGCAGATGATAAGGATGCATTGAGACATCTCCTAGAAGCCTGCAAAGCCAAAGGGAAGGAAGTGATTATCATAACAACAGATAAGTCCTCTTCAGGCACCAAAACCACCAAACAGTATCTCAACGTCCCTCCTTCACCCAAAGTGGATGGGAGACAGTCACCTCCCCTGTGTGCCTCCCCCTCCAACACTGAGCTGAAGGCTGCACCCAGTGAGAACGAAGATGACTTCTTCAGCCTCCAAACAGGACATCCAAGTGGCAGTAATGCCACAAAGGTTCTTACTGAGTCTGGGTCACCCACTAGGAAAGTTGGTAGCCTCAGGAGGGCCCGTTTGCCTCAACTGAAGAGGCTGCAGTCTGAGCCTTGGGGCCTGATTGCGCCCTCTGTGCTATCTGCCTCCATGAGTCAGGACAAAGCACAGGGTGTCAGCACAGACAGCGAGGTCACAAGGAGCCCAGGTGACGTGTCCTTTCCGAAGAGGGGGCTCTTGTCCAGAACTAACAGCATCGATGGCAAAGACCTCTTCCCTACCGTCACAGAGCAGATTCTGAAGGCTGCAGCACCCTCAGCACCAGCCTCCTGGAAAGGCCCCACTGCCCACCCTCGCCTGGTCTGGAGAGGAACCCTCCCTGTTGACCAAGAGAGGGGTAACGTGAATGTGTCGGGACCCTCCTCTCTCAAAGAGCCAGCATCCCTCAAACAACTAGAAAACGACCTGTACGACCTAGACTTAGAGCCAGGGCCTGACCCAGCCAACCCCACTCCCCTTGAGTCAGGCCAAGGCCACTCAGATAGAAAGAAGCTCAACGGCTCCCTCCTGTCCCTCTTCCAGGGCTCCCGCGAGTCTCTGGAGGCTGTGCCCAGTACCTCCCCGAGCTCGGGGCGCCGCCCGCTGCACCTTCTAGAAAGACGAGGTTCTGGAACTCTGCTCCTAGACCGCATTGCTCACACCAGGCCGGGCTTCCTTCCACCTTTAAATGTGAATCTGAACCCCCCGATCCCAGACATTAGACCTAGTGGCAAACCTTCTTCCCCACTCACTAGTGGCTTTAAATCTATGGTTCCCGTTGCTCCAAGTTCACCAAAGAGAGTGGATCTGAGAAGTACAAAGAAGCTCCTCCGAAGGCATTCCATGCAAATTGAGCAGATGAAGCAGCTGTCTGGCTTTGAAGAAATCATGACCTAGAGCCTTTCAGAATGGCTTTCCCCCATGTCTGTATAGTTCATTGAAGGGACCTACAAAAATCCAGACCTCCACGGCTGTGCAGAGCCTCTGCGTCCCGCCCATTCTGGAAGGCTGCTGTAGCCACAGCTGAGGACATGGAGACAAGGTGCTGCCTCTCTACTTCTGAAACAACCCTGGGATTCTATAGGCCTACTTGAAAAGAGCTCAGGAAAATTAGGTTTTAGAGGTAAAATTACAAGAAAAAAGTTCTCTGAAAGAATAGAACCTTTGCAGTTTGGAGGTCACACAGCAAACACAATGACTGGAGTTGTGGACACCAGTAATTTTCTGTACAACAAACAAAACACACATTTAGATCACAAGATGTCATTTGAAGGATGTCACTGGTCATCTGTACAGTGCCTAAAAAGGAAATGGCTTTGACATTCTTTGGGATTGCAAAATTTCAAAACCAACCCCTAAGCTGCTGTACGTGGCTTCATCTGGTGGAGCAGAAGCAGGATCCTCCCAGCAGAGTGCCCGGCCTGTGGCACTGTCTCTTGTTATGCTGTGGGCACCACCTAGCGTGGCTGAACTCCTCCAGCTCTCCAGATACAGGCGTTGTTCACATGCCAGCACCGGTGTGCGCGAAGTCCCACACACCCCTCTACGTGCCCCATTCTGAGTGGTCACCCAGCTGGAGCCACAGGGAGGAGCCCGGACTCGGAAGGAGACTTTCCTCAGTCTCTGGTCCCTGGTTCCACAGGCCCTGTGTGGAAATCAAAGTTAACTAACGTGAATTTGAACATCATGTAATTCATAGGACCAAAATGCTCTTCCCAATTTTTCTTGAGAGAACTCCATGGGATCTGCCAGAGCAGTGGGCTACACGGGCTCTGCACAGATGCTTCTCAGGCTGGAACTGTGGCCTGAAGATGTTAGGGGACACAAATTGTTATTTCCCTTTCAGGGATCTGCGTAATCCAAGAAACACCTGGTTTCTCCTTTGCCTGAGTTACCCGGGTAATGCGAGATTTATTGAAACAATCTGTAGAACACTTTAAACACTGAAGAAATCCAAAGAAGTAAGCAGAAACTTAGCACACTTGCTAAATTAGACGCAGATATTCTCATTTTCTTCCCATGTATTTCTCCTCTCTTGTAGCCAAGGTGCACTTGTTCCATGGTTGAAAAGTTTAGCTGTTCCTAGGGATGGAACCATGCAGACAGAAGAGCAAAGGCTTTGAGTCTGACAGGCTTGGCCTTACACCCTGGGCTTACCATTTACAAGAGAGCAACCCTAAGAAAATAGCTCCCCATCTCGAGCATCTGTTCCCACACCTGTAAAATGGAACCAGTATTATTTGTTTTGCAAGGTTCTGGTGAGAATGAAGTGGCACAGTGTATCAAAGTGCCTCTGTGCCCAGCACAGATAGACATCACTGGATAAAAGGTAGCTAATTTAAATTTATTTCTAGAAACCTCAGAAGCTTCAAAATCTCAGTTCATAAATGATGTGCACAAAGTCCAACTGAAAGATCCCAGTGTCTCCTTGAGAGTCCCACAAGTTCTATAAACCCTGATTCCTAAACCCATTTGCAAAGTAAAACATCCTGCCACATAAGCTCTGCATATCACGCCAATTCTATAGGAACATTTCCTAGAAATGTATCCAAATCCCAACAAAAACATTAATGATAGTTAAAAAGTGCTTATTTTTGTGGTTCTATTAGGGCAAGTTCTTAACCTCGTACCACTGACAGCTGCAGCTGGCTGACTTTTGCTGAGGTGAGGAGATCTGTCCTGTGCATTGTAGTGTATTTAACAACCTCCCCCCTGCCCAGGTGGCAGCAGCACCTTGCTCCTCAGTGTGATAAGCAAAATGGTCCTAGACCTGACCAGGTGCCTCTTGAGGGCAGCATCACCTTGGTGGATCCCTGTGCTCTAGCAAGCAGCTGTGTAAGTAGTAGAAATGTGCCAAGAACCGCGGAGCCAACTGGACATGTGTCCTTCAGGACTCTTGGCAAGAGACACAACACAAGCACTAACGGTCTCTGTACCTTGCAGGATAGGGAGAGAATGAGAAGAAAACCACATAAAGTGATGAAGATGTACAGCTCGAGAAGTTGGCTCGGTGTGGACACCCATCTGGTTTTCAGAACCACTCAGTTGTTAGCAGTCCTTCCCAAGAAGATCCGATTATAGGTAAAGAAATAGCTTCCAACATTAAAGAATCATACAACCATTGCTTCCAGCAGCTCATCACACACACACACACACACACACACACACACACACACACACACACGGCACATTTTAAGTATTTTTCGAGCTATTGTCAATACCAGTTAAAGCTACTCGGCCATGGGGACCAGAAAACTCTGCATGGAATCATTTTGCATAGGAGCCAAGACTTGGAAGGCTGATTTATCTGCAGGAGAGCTGGGTGCATTTGTAGTGATTAGCTCACGCATGGGGTACCACTTTGTCAGGGTGGCTGGTCCATCGAACAGAAGCAGAGTCAAGTCAGGAGCTCTCCTGCCACCCCTGCCTGCATCTCAGCATGACCTGCCCACCAGCCTCCTTTGGCAGGCACCGGGCAGCCCCTTCTCCATCACTGCTTGACAATGCATTAGCTGAATTAGGCTTGTTCCACACTAGTACAATGGCCAACATACCTTGTCATGGTTTATGCATAAATAAGCGATTTTGTCCACATCAGTGAACTTCACAAGAATGCTTTTCAAAAGCATATTTTAGATTCAAATATGCTTTTTAGATCAGAGGTTAGCTTTTTGTTTTGGAATCCTAGAGTCACTATATAAGTTAGCTGTGAAGTATAGTTTCAGTGATCTATCCACTTAGGATTCTCTAGACTGTTTATTAAAATATAATCCAGAATGTGAGTCTAATGTTTAAAGCCTGGTACTTTGGTTTAATTTCTAGACATTCCAAAGCCTTAACAAAACCAACCAACCCTTGTAGATTCCCATGGAGCTTTGTGCAGGGGCTGCTGTGCACATGCCGAGCCCCAGAGCTCCTCCTTGTGTGTTGGTGCTGCTGACTGGCCCTCCGCAGTGCCCATCCATCTCAAGCTGAGGGTGTGCTGAAAGATGTGTCAAAGTCCCTGTAATGAAACTGTCTAATATATCAATAAATGATCTATTACAAACCTTCAGTAGTAGTTCTCATTTCCTTTGTGAAATTTCAAAGATAAAATTGACCTTTTCTTTAAGGTGGCATCCATATGATTGCCTAGTGACATGAACCTTAGCAAGCACTCGGTATTTGACAGTTATTTTTAAACATTAATGTTAAACTATACAAACATCGGGGCTTCTTCCCTGGTAAACAAGCACAGTGAATGCAAGGGTGAGCGTCCCCCGCCCTGCTGCTGTCCCCAGGCTGCATCTAGCACCAAGACAGATTCACAGCCCCTTGCAGCCTGCAGGCTGTCTGCATGCTGACTGGTGTGGACATAGGTGACCTCCTTCCTCCACTCGAGGATGGAGTGGCAAGAGCAGGAACGGGCCAGAAGATCTCCCTGGTGTCTTAAACTCTAGTATCTTGTGATTCTCTAGACCAACTGCCCTTAAGTTTTCCTCTAGACTACTGAAACTAACTTGGTTAATAACAGAAAAAAGGAGTGCTTTTAGGATGTCTTTTCCCACCTCTGCCATCAGGGAAGGAGGCTAATACTGTTTCTAAGTCATTCGAAGAGAGATGCTGCGGGAGGAGAAGATGGCAGGGGAGGTGAAGAGGGAGGAAGTTCAGGTCACTGTGGCTAGTGCTGGAGGAGGGCATGCACTCGTAAGGCTGACAGAAGGCTGAGAAGCCTGTGGTCCCTTGATGGACTATGTTCCTCTCCAGGGCAAAGCCTTAGAGAGAACTAGTTGCATGGCTGTCCAGGGAGCCTGGGCCTGGCCACAGTGGGTAGGAAGGCCTGGGGCATGAAGAACCTGCAGGTTTGACAATGAACACACTAGCTGCTTACCAGCAAGTGTGAAGGTCAAGGCCACCTGCACACTGTGACTATGTAGAGCTCCTCGGAGTGCGTAGGAAGAGCTCCAGGGGACCCAAATGGACTTTCCTGTTGACTTTGTTAAAGGGAAGTCAGGACCAATTTTAGTGAATTTATTGAAGTAATATGGGATTGCATACATTCAAAAGTAATGTAGGGAAATTCGCAGCACTCCGGGTCCAAGTAACAAAACAGGATGTGCATGTAAAAAGGTGAAAGATTTATATGGTCTGAAGAGAAACCAGAGAATGGGATGTGCATGTAGAAAGTGCAGGATCAGAGTCACAGTTCTACCTGCCTGCTGAAGGGTGTCCAAACAAGGACTGCACCTCAGGAAATAAGGCCACAAGGGCCTTAGGGCTGCCATGACACCCAACTGAGTCAGCACAGCGAGAAGAGTCAGAATTCTCACAGGGGCTCCTTGGTGGAAGGTGATTCTGTAGTCCATTTCCAGCAGATGAGGTGTGGAAGGGCATTTCAGAATAATGGAATTAAAATCTAGTGGAGTTTTTTGGAGAGAAGTGTGATCTTGTGAGAGAGGCTTGGAAGGAAGTGAAGGAAAAGAGCAAGATGGAGGTTCCCAGGAGTCAAAAAACCAATGGGAACCCAAGTGAACAGCCTGGTTCTGCCCCCTGCTGGTAAAGGATCATATGTATGTACACATATATATGCGTGGGCATCTTCACCAAAATCAAGGTGCAAGGAGATTCAGTGACTTGCCCAAGACCACACTGCTGGGTCCATTTACCAGGAGACGATGAAAGTTTTCATCGCCACCAAAACCCCGCTCACACTCTTTGTAATCTTTCCCACCAGTTTCCAGCAGCTACTGATCTGCTTCCTGCCACCACACTTTAATTTGCATTCCCTGCAGTTTCATATAATGGGAATTATGTAGGAGGTATGCTTTTCTGTCCAGTGCTTTTGCTCTGCACAATTAGCTAGAGATTCGCCCAAGTGATTTCTCATACTACCACTTCATTCTTTTTCATTTCCAAATGCATTCCATTGTGTGGAAATGTCACAGTCTGTTTATCCAGGCACTGTTGGAAGGATGGATGGGTTGTCTCCAGTTTGGGGCTGTTATAAGTACAGCTACTACAAACTTGTGGGTAAGTTTTTGTATAGACATACTCTTTCTTTTCACTCTAGTAAATACTTAGAAGTGGGATGACTAAATCATAGGTATGTATATAAATTTTTAGAAACTATGAAACTGTTTCCCAATGTTCCTACCAGCAGTGTATGACAGTCATGAGTGTGACCTCCACCAACGCATGTGTGATCAGTCATTTTCAGCTTAGCTACTCATCTGCTTAGCTTTAATTTAGAGTTCTCTACTGACTGATAATGTTGAGTATCATTTCATACTCTTCTTAACAACTATGTCATCTTTGGTGACACTTCTGTTCATTTTCTTGCTTCTTAAAACAATGTTTTCTATTGTTCATTTTTGAGAGTTCTTTATGGATTCTGGATGGGCATTTTATCAGTGTATGCTTTTCAAGGATTTTTGTCCCAGTTTAGGGCTTGTCTTTCATTCTCTTAATAGAGTCTTTTAAAGAGCAATTTAGAAATTTTTTGTAAAGTCTAATTTATCATTTTGTTCTTTTATTACAGATTGTGCTTTTGGACTGCAATCTAGGAAGCCTTTAACCTTACCAAATCATGAAGATTCTGTCCTATAGTTTCTTCTAGATGTTTTGTAGATTTAAGATTTACAATTAGGTCTCGGATCTGTTTGAGTTAATTTTTCTATATGGTGTGGGATATAGACCATGTGGAAGCCTTTGGAACTGGTTTGTCAGAGGAGTTTGAGAAGGTTTGGAGATGCCAGTGAGAGAAGACTTAGAATGCAATAAGCCAAGCCTGATGGGTGATTCTGTTGGAGCTCAGAAGACCGTAATGCTGACAAGAACGCAGACAGTAAAGGCCAGGCTCAGGGGTTTTCAGTTAGGAACAAGAACTCCATTGGCAGTTGGACTAGAGGCCCTGGCAGGAAAGTTGTCTACATTTTGCCCATATCCTGAGACTTTGTGGGAGACAGAGATAAAAGTTTTTTGTATTCAGACATGTTACCAACATGAAAAGTTGGGGAGAAACTGTCTCAAAGGACCTCATGGTCCTGGCTTCTGAAATACAGGCAGTTAATCTGCTGACAGTCTGCCTCCCAAGTGGTGAGATCACAGAATGGCTTAGTTTCTCCTAGAATCACCTGAACAGGTTTCAGTGAGTCCTTCTTTTCTGTCTCTGCTTCATGTTTTGGACAAATTCCATAACTTTGTACCTACTCTTGGGTAATGGACAACATGCAGTGTGTTTCATTTCAATTTCTAAAAAGCTCAAACATCATGGAATCAGTGGAAGAATGGAGATGGACTCAGAGAAGCGCAGGAGTAGAGAAAGGTGAGAAAACAGGTTCACCAGCAAAAGCGGACCACAGGGTGTCGGTGGCACTGACTCTCACAGCCATGGACCTCCATGCTGTCACTCACCTCTGACGACCTCCTGTCTTCCTCAAGATCCAGACCCAGAGGCATCAAGCTGGTACAGCCTGTGCCCACGGCCACCTGTCTCAGGATCAGGAACAAGGAACAGGGGTTTCTGCCTGTTTTGGGTTCTGTGATGAAAGGCAGGCTACTTCCTCATAAGAAAGACGTTTAAATGATTGATAGCTATAAAAGCAATTGTTCTGGAGAAGGTGGCAGGTTTTAGGAGGGCAGCGTTTGCACCTTTCTCAGTTGGGCTGTTCAGGGAGAGGCTGGTCTCAGTTCTAATTCCGTGGTTACTTGAAGTGGTTTGCAACTTTTTTTTCCTTTAGTCAGGCTACACATGGTGAGTCCACTGCTTTCCTTCCTCAGCATCAACTGCATATTTGAAGCATGGGTAAATACTGACTTTGTTAAATACTGACTTCTGTTATGTAGGACAATGATAATCTTCTTTAGAGCATAGCCTGGTCTACCTCTATCTGCCCAAGTCCTCATACTGCAATTATTCACCTTTTCAATCTTTTAAAATTGAGAAATTAAAATGCACAAGAAGTTATAGAAAATAGGTTTAACAAAACCAAGCTAAAGTGAAAACTCACGAAAGGCCCTTGGTGCCACTTCTAACCCTTTGCCTTCTCTGTCCTCCCAGAAATGAGCGCCAGTCCCACTTTCATGTTTCCAATCCTTATCCTCTTATTTTTTCTTGCCTTATCTTTCTACCTAGGATTTTTGGAGCAACTAAGGACAGCAATTGTGATAGTAGGCCATTTATGTCTGATTCCCAATATTAAAGGGAAAGATTTTAATGTTTATCATTAATCATGAAGTCTGCTCCAGGTTTTTAATGGACATTTTATAACATTAAGGAAGTTCTCTAATATTCTTGCCTCTCTAAAAGGTTTTCTCATAAGTAGATGTTGATTTTTGTCATGTTTTTAAATTCAATTATTAAGATACTCATTTTTATTTTATTTTAAAAGTTCTTCACTGAAGTCACCTCGGGACTAACATGGACAAATAACACTCTTTAATTTTTTTCAAGCTTTTCTATTTTTAGTACCTTCTACCATATATTGTGGAATATAAAGTTTGAAAGGAAACTTCGAGGTCATCCACAGTCTAGTCCCTGGTTCTGTAATCTTTCCTGCAGCTATTCCAGTGGCTGGTCGTTCAACCTCTCTGCCTGAATATTTGCGAGAATGAAACATTTGCTACTTCTGTTCATTCCCCTCGGGGAACTCGTCCACCGTCAGAAAATCATTTCTTACGCTGAGCTGAGGTATGCCTCTGAGTCAGATGCAGGTTTAGAGCCAAGTATTTCCATGGGGAACACGAAGAACAAATGAAGCCTGAAGCATGAAGAGAAGTGGTGTATTTGGTGGGAAGCACGTAGCCTTGAGAACGGGGCGGGGCTGGGCTCAACTCCTGGGTTAGCCACAGACAAAGCCAGTGCACTTGGGTCCTGCGGCGGATTGTGCCTCCCGTTCTAGTGGGTGCCTCCTTTGCAGCAACACTGTGCAATCCTGCCACCTAGAGGTCGAATCTGTTTCTTCACCTCCCTGAACTCTGGGGAATCTTGGGACTTGCTCTGGCCACTAGACGTGGAGAAAGTGACGCTGCAAAGCTCTGGAGTTCGGAGTCAGAAGCCTGGTGTTTTGCTTTGGTGTCTTGGGGAATCTCCTGTGCCTGCCGAGTAAGAAGATAGTGCAGCCTGCTCTAAGTGAGAAGATGCCTCACCATCCGCTGCAGACATCCGGTGTCACCTTGGGATCTCCAGCTCAAAGGACCCTCCATCCCAGCGCAGCTTCACGGTCAATCCTGGCAAAAACCCCTGAAGCAGAAAGACTGCCCTGCTAGCCCACAAAGTCAAAGGAAGCTATAAATCACTGTTGGTTTAAGCCACTAAAGCACAGCAAAAGACAAAAAATCTCAGTCAAACTCCATGTGCTGCTTGCTGTTTGCTCCTTGTCAAATGGGAAAAAGCACTTCTTTTTTTGGCATGGCTGCTCTAGGGATTAGTCAAGGTGACGCTGACGGGATGCACAGGTAGGTGGCACTGTGACGGGCACAGAGGCAATGTTAAAGAGCAGCAGGTGCTGGGACTGCTGTCACGTGAACTGGAGTCGATAGTCTCCTCGTTAGTTTCTACGTTTCCACAGTACGCCCTTTATTCTGTGGCTTTGTCTTGTTTGAGAAGCTTTTCTGGTAAACTGTTATTCTAGTCTCCTAATTACTGTCCCATGACATTCCCGCGTTTTGTTGATACCCTCTGTTAATTTTTACAGCGGGACAGTTGCCATTAGTGTGAGTACCTTCTAAACAACACAGCAAGTGCCAGCGCCAGCGGTGCTTTATTCACCCAGCTGGAGCCGAGCCCTTCTTCAGTCTGGGCATCCCTGGTCTCACACTCCGCGCGCTGCGGATTACACCTGCTGGCGCTGGCCTGAGCTGCTGTGTCCCGGCTGCCCTCCTTGGAACTCGTGCAAGTGCTTGCTTGGAACCTTGGTGCACGATTTAATATTTGACCCAGAGGAATTTCTTTTTTGTTATCTTAGCCCAGCATTCCAGCTGGCCAAGGGAGCCTTAGTCTGCCACCTGTGTGTTTTTCCACTGGATGCGTCTAGGTGATTACTTCCATGTTCTCTCTGTCACTGAAGAACAGGACAGAGGCTGGGAAGGAACCGCAAGGTGTGCACTAAATGACTCGTCAAGTTTAGCACAAGCCAGTGCACATTCGATAACTACGTGACGTGCGTGTGCTATTTTACAGCCTACAGGCTGCTTTCACATGCAGTAGTCCTGAATCCAGGGCCAAATGCACCTGCTAAAAAGCACTTCAGTCTTATCTACACGAGGGATATGTAGGCAGGGCATTTCTTTGCTGAAATCTAATAACATCTAATAATCCTCTCCTAAAATAAAAAATCTTCAATGAGTAGCAATCCTACACTATGTCTTTCCTTTTTATTTCTGAGATTTTGTCAGGTGAGTCATCCCAACACTAGGAGGCTGAGGCAGGAGGATCACAAGTTCAAGTCCATCCTGGGCAACTTAGTGACTTAGATCCTGCCTCAAAATGAAAAATAAAACAGGCAGGAGTGGGCATGGAGAGCGGGCGGGGGATGTGACTCAGCGAAGGCCCTGGGTTCAATCTCCAGGGAAGAAGAAAGATGGAAGAAGAAAGGGGGAGAGGAAAAGGAGGAAGAGGAAGTAAAAAGGTAGAAAGGCATTAATGGGTCTCCGCGCTCTCTTATCCTAGCTGCTATAGACGGTAGGTCTGGACAACGAGAAGACTTGAGTTCTAGAGAGGCGCTGACCAGAAGAAAGCGTCTGAGCGCCAGCGGCACAGTGCAGGCCTGGGTTCAGCAGCGTCGGGAGAAGTGAGCTGCGCATGCGCCCGGCTTCCCAGGTCACGCGCCCCGCCCTCCGCACTCGCCGGTCCGGGTAGTTCCGCCGGCCCCGGTACTTCCGCCGGTCCCCGGCGCGTGGCCCCGCCCCTTCCAGAGACTGCGCAGGCGCACACTTGCTGAGAGCGCCCCTGCCCCGGGCGCTTGCGTACAGGCTCCCGCCTTCCCGGAAGCGCCGCCGCGGTGCCACGTCTTCCCGCGCGCTCTTCGGTCTCGGCCGCGGCCCTGCGGACCCAGCTGAGCACCATGGGCCGCGCTCCTCGCCCGGCCGCCGCGCTGCTCCTGCTCCTGCTGCTGCGCGCCG